GAGCCAATAAAGATGCAGCTCGAACGGAACGAGGCCGTAGCGCGCATTTATTACACTTTAGCTACACGATAACTTATTCGATATTCGATTCAACTTTTTTATGCTACGATCAAAAATAGGACGTGAAATAATTTTTACTAATATCGCAATGTCGCTCGATATTATGATCGATATACGGGCAACACTGAAAATTAAATTTCATTTGATATATAATAATGATTTTATTTCATACGTTATTGTTAAAAATGCTTTGAAATATGCTTGGTTATACATTTTTACAAACGTAAAAGTATCATCTATTTAAACAAGATTTCAATCGATTATTTCCATCTCATATATATCTGGAGCTAGTGAGTCGTATCTTTTGTCCCTAATATAATATAGGTATTCTTAATCAATTGTCTTTGTTACGGTAGATAATAGGTATGATATAGTACTTGTAATTAATTCCATCTTTTCGCTGCACCACTCTGCGTGTGAACGAGCAGTCTAACGACGGCGATTTAATTGTTTCGTTATCAAGGTTGTTAATTAAGGCATCCGCACGTGTAATAACGAGGTAACCATTAAGCTGCTTTCTTGTTATTTTGTGTCTTTCTTTTTTTTCAAATTACCATTGGACGTGTTTTACTCATTGTCAGTTTCACGAATTCGAGTCGCAAATGTGAATCGAATTCCTGATTCTCGACCGGATTGAAATCTAACACCGTGGCGCGTGATGCTTCTCTAGAATTCAGGCGGCAAACGGAACGCAACGAACGTGGTCAGTTATAAAGTACCAAGACGCCGCGCCGCGCCGCGCCGCGCCGCGCCGATGTGTATGAAGCCCCGTCAAGTACTGGCCAAGCATGTCTGATCATTAATTAACCTTCCAGCGGTTGATTGCGTGTAACGCGAATTTCATCGGCAGCGTAGCAGTGGTCGCGCCAAACGCGGCTGCTGCCTTAACGAATACAAATGCGGAATTATAATTATAATTCGGTGCCCTCTCCTTAAGTCCATTCAACGGACCAAGATTTACGAATTGCTTTCCCCTTTGTGTTCCCGAAGGCATGCAAGATACACGCACGAAACTGTAAATACGACGGTCGTTAGTTTTTATTAATGGGACGATTAACACCATCATCGAACCACCAACATTCTCGAGCGATGTATCGTCGCGTAAGATGAAGAGCAACAGGGTAACAGTATTTTCGTTTGCTCGCATATTATTATGACCGCATATTGTATTAACTGTTGATGCTTTGATTAAAAGATCCTTGGTTTGTGCATATTTTATGTTTCCTTGTTAAATTAAAATAAAGATCGAGCCTCAGTTGCTAAAACGATTCAAAATAAAAAATAATGTAATTTATTATTTCTCGTCTTTTATTCTTGCGAACAGTAGCGTTTCATCGCTTTCTTCTTTGATATACAGTAACAACCATAACGTTTTATCTACTCGTTGGATTTTGATTTCTTTCTCACGGTTTGAAATATAGTTAAGTATTTCGTTAAGAATTAAATTCTTAAGACATTTTAAATAAATAATACAAAGACTAACAATAAGACTAGAACTATTATACTTTCATTCGTGCTATTCTTTCATGATGTATTCTCATCAATCAAATCTTAAGAGATTTTTAACTTTTAAACGCTAGTATATATGTAAAGATAAAATAGTAGAATTTATTGTACAGAGATTAAAGATCGATATAACACTGACGATAAGTTGGTAATATCCCTAATTAAGCATGTTTTTTGTAACGATATTAACGAAAACATATTCATTAAAAGATTAAAAATTGATATATTAGGTAACTGTTTATAAATTACACGTTTACGCTTTACGCTTTACGCTTTACGCTTTACGCTTTACGCTTTACGCTTTACGCTTTACGCTTTGCGCTTTACGTTCTGCGCTTTACGCTCTGCGCTTTACGCTCTGCGCTCCACGGTTTACGCGTGACACCTAGAGCAAACAGTTGTACGTAATGTCGTTACCAGGACAACGCCAAGTATCCAGTCGATAAACTGGATTACTTGGCAAGTTTCTGTGTGAAATCATGTCTGACCCGTTAGCGCCCACTATAGAAGACAAACTAAACGATTTGAATAAAAAAATCACCGAGATCAAGAAAAAGATCCAACTATCAGGTAAATTTACGTAGATAAACGATATTGTGGAAAATAGTAACGTTACGGTCTGTTTGCTTAATCTGGTCTAATATTCACATATTTGCTACGGCGTTTGTAACGTCGTTCGTATAACGTCGTTTGAGAAAAGAAAACAATTCGCTGGCGTTTATTTCCCAAGCAAGTTGCCGATTGCATACAGAGATACATAAGAACACGTTTAACCGGAAAGACTACAAGTTCAAAAAAAAAAAAAAAACGTTCGTGTCACATAAGTGGCTTCTTCAAGAAGAAAAAAGAACATTTCTACTGGCATATCGATATATACTAGCTATCAAAATGCTAATTACAAAGTGAATATTCCAGCGAGCGTTTCTATTAAACGTAAACTAGCAAATATCGGTTCGGTTCGCGAACTCGCCAACTCGAGCATTTGTATAAAATATTATTTCCCATCTTACGGCATCTATCCAATGACTTTTTCGTTGAAACATTTTTTATTTTACCGTCGTATTTTGTTTTCATATGTCGGATTAAGGTCGAAATTTTGGGCGTTCGATGAACCTTCACTCAACTCAAATTTACCATCGCGGATATAGCTGATGTTTATTGGTACAAATGTGGGTACTACAAGAGGCTATGAGTAATAGCGGCGATAGGATGGTCGAGATGTTGGTGACAACGAATTCAGGTTCGATAACGAATCCACGGTCCACGGGATGACGAGTGCAAACGTAATACACGATTCGGATAACTCTCGATACCTCAATCAGCAATTCGCCCAACGACTAACTAACTAACTAACTAACTCGTAATCCAAATGAAACCGACCTTATATAGTCCTTTTCCCACTTCTTGGGTCAATCTCTGTTTCTGAGGAGAGCTGCACAACTATTTCCTGCTTCCGTTATTACACGTCCCTCCTGTGACCGTGGGTACGTTCGGTGACTCATTATGTCACCTCGAGCCCAAACCCATCGTCATAAACCTTAAGTTCCCGCGTAACTATTTCTTCGTTTATTGTCGTCGTTGTCGTAAACATCTGGATCGGAGTATTGGGTTTTTCCGAACATTCTAAAGAAAGGTCCCGATGTCCTTTCATCTTCGACATATATATTAAAGCTAAACTTTTTTTTTTATTTATTAAAATTTACAATCAATTCTCGCATTGAGAATTTTCAGTAATCTTTTCTGGCGTGGCGCAGTGACATGGCTAATTATTTATATGTCGGAGAAGCGTCAGGAATAGGGTTGTGGGCGTTTGCTAGATCTTCATTGGAATTGGCCATCGCTGTGTTATAACGAAGATACGGCCTGATACTACGAATATGGACACTACCGATTCGACAATCAATCGTTTTATAGCGGGTCCTCGGGCTAACTGGACTTGTGCTGTGTACGTTCCTCACCATCAGGTATTCATTGTCCGAATTGTCTCTATTGGTATTTCTTTCTATTGGTATTTCTTTTAATGAGGGTCATACTATAACTCCACACCTTTGTTAGGCGAAGCGCCCGTCCCGTTGACCGCGGCTACGTTCGGCTATTGAGGGTCGCCTTGAGCCCAAGTTTATTATCACAAATCGCAAACAAGTACAATTGGGCCGAATGACGGCAAATTGTTTAATTACGGCTGTAAACTTTAATTATAATTTTACGGATTTTCCCGAAGTTCCAGAGAGAAGGCTCCTGTGTGCTTTCATCTCCGACATATACATTGCAAAAAAGATCGTATGCGGAAAATGCACAAACAACATTCGGTATATTTGCAAAAAATGTGCTCAATAGATATGATTACCGTGTACCGTTAATGTTATTGTTACTCTTTTTAGTGATAATTTAAAAAAAGTCTTTTTATTTATTAATAATTTATTTAAATGCGAAGCCTAATATCGTTCTTTTCAGACTTAATTTGAATAAATCGATTTTTTATAGAAGAATGCGTATTTTCGTTCACCCGTCAATTTGACGGGTCCCGTAGAGATAGGTATACTACATACAGATTTCAAAAATTAGAAAGCCTAGGAAAAAATAATTTTGTGTATAAATTCTTTAAATGAAATGATTAATTTACGATGCAAAATGGTTAAAATTGGTGCTATGGTTTTTGAGATATTTCATTACCTGAATGAACAATAATCCTAAGGAGTTTCTCGACTTGAAAGATGTTTTGTGGCAATGTGGCAATTAAGGGACCTGTTAAGGGTCTCGTTAAGGGCCTTGTTAAGGGTCTTGACGGTAAAGTGAAAGTGCTAAATTTTATGACAATTGCTTAGGCTTATCGAGGGTCCGATTATATGTATCGAGAGAATCGAGGGATGGATTTTGATATATGGTAAGGTGACGGAACGTAACGGTATAAGTAGGTGAAGTAAATCGTTCAATGGTACTGTAGCTAAGGTGAATAGGTTGTACCATTAAAGAAACGATTATCCTACGATCGTACGTTCTTAGCAGTCATTTAGAAGGACGGTATATAACTTGATATTTTCCTTAAACAAATTGGGTCTCTTGTTCTTTGAGTTATAAACGTTTACCTTGGATGAACATTTTATGGCTAGATATTCGTGAGAAATATCTAATATCTGGTCGAACGAAGTTGATTTGTCATTTCGACGCGACACGATATCCCTTAGCTGTAGATATAGGTACGTAAAGCCGATATAAAAAATCGTTAGTAAGTGTTAATAACCAAGTATGTGTCTTATGTTGGCAGAGGGACAAAGAAAAGCGACTTTCGAAGAATACGAAGCTAAGAAGCACGAGTACGCGGAGAAAATCGCAACTCTCAAGCGAAGCGTTAAAGAACTCTACGTAGAATATGCAAACATACGGAACGTAATTATGGAATGCGACGATTAAAAAAACATTGATTAAGTAAATCGTTATACATGTGTGTGTGTGTGTGTGTGTGTGTTATTTCAGAACGAGGGGAAATCAGAGGGCAAAGTTCACGTAAGCCGCAAATCTTTGGCTTGTGAGAAAAAACGCAATTTAGATGAGACAATTACTAAAATGCAAGAGGACAATATACGCTTAAGAAAGAAGCACGATCTAATTAAGTACGAACGTAAGAAGGTGAGCAACGCGATATCAATCTCTTAAAGATTAGACTGGCGCGAATGTATTTTGTATCCATAGAAGCGTAAATATTCTTAGCGACAGCAGAGACTGCACTCGTTGCTGGATGAATATAGTAAATTAACGAGCAATAAGATGCAGAAGATATTTAAGGAGAAGATGGAGAATCCGTTGCGAAACGTGAGTTAGAACAATACAGATAAACATCGTCAGAGCATCCGTTAGAGTTACGTTTATATGATGACAGAAAATTGTTAAACTGGAAGTACGTTTGGAGCATATCAGGATGATGCAAATCAAAGCGAACATAGCACGAATGAAATATCGGTCGATGTGCTCCGATCTGAAACAGAAATCTGTGCTTTATGCGTCTTCGTTGAAAAGTCTGGAAGATGAAATAAAGGAGCAAGAGAATGAAACGAAACGTCTGGAGGCAAGGCGTCGTTTTAATTGTATCGAGATAATTCCTTTCTTTCGTAAGACATAATATTACATTATCTATGCACAGAAAGCGAAAGAAGAAGCTATTACGTTAAAGGATAATATGCAGGAAACATTGATAAAAGAAGAAATCGAGGTTACAAATTGTAGCAAAGAGCGTCGTGCTGTCCTTGAAGAATACAGGTACGATCGATGAAAGTTGAGGTAAATCCGTGTAAAATCTGGTGAACAATGGTGAAAAATATTTTAGAGTAGAGTGCGAAGGCCGCTTATTCGTGCACTAAAGTATCTTATTCGGACGCAATTCTTAGATTTAATCGGCATTTAATCGGCATTTAATCGGCATTTAATCGGCAGTAAATTAAAGGAAAATGTATTACGACCAGGCAACGCGTGTTAGAGCGAAAAACGGAACTCGAGCGTTTGGAAAAGATGATATTCCATTCGCGTCCGCGAGATGATTTTGACACACGTGGAGAAAGCCATGTACAGCATGCGGAGGACATTACCAAGGACGAGGTGACACGACTCGAAGAGACGTTCGCCAAGCTGCGCAGTGCCACCGGAGTGTCCAGATCCGAAGACGTTGTGAACCGGTTTCTGGGTCAGCGAGCGACTAAGGATAATCTGCAGAAAATGCGGCTGGCCACGGAGCAAGAGAAAATGGCTTTAGAAAAGCAGAGACTGCAGCTTATCGACGAAATGGAAATGAGAAAGTTCTCTGAAACGAAGGACGCGGAACAGTGAGTTTCCACCTGTTTCTATATATTCGTCGAGGATATTGTATTGTACAGACACCGTGTATGTCAGAAATGCGGAAGAAACGGAGAAACTGAACCGTCGCATCGACCAACAGCGATCGCGCCGATTAAAAGCGGACGCGAGAAGGCAGAAGATGGAAGATCTATTGCAAGCAATTACCATGACATTGCGGAACGTGTGCAACAAATTTCGCGTGAGTAATTACAGCATCTTCTCGTAATATTTCACTATTTAACGAAACACCGTGTTGTCTAATCTTTTGGTAAGAAAAGCTTTATCGATATAGAATTGAATTTCTGAAAATGTTCATTTCGCAACAGAGATGTTGCAAGTTTTTCATACTGCGAATCGTATAAATTAACGTGAGAAAATTCTGATGGCACTGTTTCAAGCCGCCAATAATTATCCTATACTTGAAAGATTTTCAATTAACGTATATTCGTTCGTGAAACAAAGAAATATGTCGATGAATTAACAGGCCGACAAAATGAAATCTCCTGTAAGCGGCTATGTGGTGTTAAAATGGTCGATGGAAATACCATGTAAATCCCTAATTAAATTAGTAAAAGCAGATTGAATGGTGGTCACAGGAATGGAGCCGCTTCGAGTTTTCATAGCCATTATATTGTCTCTGAAGATTTAGCACCGCCAACCTGCGAGTCGTTGACCAATCAACTTCCTTGAACGATCCCCGTCTGCAATTCTCACCTTAAGAAGCTGCTGTCCCACCGCGTTAACACCTTCGAACCTGATCGAAAGTAAACACTTCGGTAGCACGTCGAACCACGAGAAAACCAATTATTGATACAATCGATCTCGCTAGTACGTGCTGCCCTTAGTTAGTTAACTCGTCCTACGATCTTCTTTCGGTCCTCTTACTAGCTGTAGCTGTACAAATATCCAGGACAAAGAAGAAACATCTTCTCTTAGAAACCAACCTAACCCCAATATCACCGTCATCCAATAACGATCTTTTCTTCCAGAATTATATTTTTTCTTTAAACGATATTTCACAGGATAAAATCTGCTTTATCGCAGGAAAACCGATACTATTGTACTAGTACTAATCGAGTACTGATATAATATAGTAATAATATAGCGATATTTTCTCGCATCTTTCAGGATATAATCGATACGTTGCCTGAAGAATCAAGCGAAATTCAACACCCTTTGCAGCTCCTAGATCTAATAAATGAGAAGCTAACTAATACCATTGAAACTTTCGGTGGTCGAGACAAGTATTTGCAAGTATTGCAGGAAATATCGATTGACAAGGTAAACTATACGTTTCGACTCGTTAATAAATATCGCACAAGTAGTTGCCAAAAGTCTAACTAGAAATAAAGTGTAACAAAATGAATCTCTAATGTACTATTTAGTCGTTAGTCGATAGTCGATAGTCGATAGTCCAAGTTCTTTCATAATCTAAACACTTGCTATCGATAATGAATAATATTTCGTTTTAAGGAATTTCGTCTCGTGTTGCTTGTATAATCGAACGGTAATTTATAATTCTGGAAACGTCTAGATAGATATTAATCTATTCGTCATTTAGTTGGAAACAGTATCGATTACGACTAACTCGGTGGAGGGAAAAGCAGCACGCATAGATGGAGGGCCACTTTTCCCACGATTTCCATCCACAATGACACCGGCGACGTTGCTTTCTGAAGACGAAGAGGATATACCAACTAGAAATACTCTCAAGAAACAGGCACAGCAACTGGTTGATATTAAAAGTCGTCGAAAAGCATTTACTTTCAGGAAATGAACTTTCTTACGTATATTAGTATATTCGTCTAATTTTATGCCAACAATTATCCTATCTCGATATATGCTCGCTCAATTTTATTTTCTATGTACCAATATTTCCTTGTTCTTCTCTATATTTCTTCATTTTCTTTTAAGATCAACAATAATTTATATGTCAGAGAAGCGTCGGGAATAGCGTCAGGAGTTGTGGGCATTTGCTAGATCTCCATTGGAATGGCCATCGCTGTGTTATAACGACGGTACGGCCTGATACTACGAGTATGAACATTACCGATTCGACGATCAACAGCGGCGATTAGGCACTCGCGATACTAGTGATAATGGTCTTAGGTTCGATAACGAATCCACGGTCAACGGGAGGATAGATATACTTGCTGCAACTCAAACATGTACTGATCGTAAGGCGCTATTCCCTTCCTCGAACGACGCCACTACGAGGAAAACTATGGTGGGATGTGTCTATGTGCACGAGATCCTCGGATCGACGTCGCTGTCGATTGGTCGATTCGGGACAAAAGCTGCCTGTCCGTTTGCACAAATATTAATTGCCGGAAAACCCAGGTTTTACAGCGGGTCCTCGGGCTAACTAGACTTGTGCTGTGTACGTGCCTCAACATCAGGTATTCATTGTCCTAAGGAACCGTTAGCATGTTTTACTGTCCGATACCTCTATGGGTAGTTCCTTTAATGAGGGTCATAACACCGCTCCGCACCTTTGTTAGACGGAGCGCCCGTCCCGTTGACCGCGGCTACGTTGGGCGGCAGGCTGTCACCCCGAGCCAAAGCTCACCGTCACTAATCCCGGACAATTGCCATCGGCTTGGATAACTGCGATTGTTTCATTTCGGCTATAGTAGACTCTAAATCACAATGTTAGGGGGTTATTATCCTGAAGTTCCAGAGGGGCCCTGGCGTCCTTTTGTCTCCGACATATATAACGGTACTACAAGTTGAATATAAACAACATTACTGTATCGTTGTATTTTACTATTGTATCGTTATTGTTGTTAAACAACATTATTACATTCCTTTAACATCCCCTGCACGCATTTTAAATTAGTAACTGCATACTACTGACATCTAGTACCTGGTATACCAACTAATAGTATATAATCCAATATTATCGCTCAACGATAGATTTATTCCATGCACTACCGTATCGAAAGAAATGCTCTAAAGATTCACGGAATTGCAAACTTCCGCCATCTCTCAGTCCTTTAAGCGCTATGCTTTTATTACTGCTGTCCACTGATTTTTGACATACTTGTAAGTACGTATTTACAAAAATTCGTATTTACGCTAAATTTAAGGAAGATGGGTAAAAAGCGTAAAACTCGGGATGGAAATAGCGACTCTGAATACGATCCAGCTCCTAAACATCTTCATATTGCTCACATCAAAAACCAAGAGAAACGTTTAATTATTATCTTAGAAAACGCTCAATTAGAATCGGTTAAGGTAAGGTTATATTTTATTCGTAACTTTTAAAATATATTCTAAACCTGTATTATTACACTTTGTCTTGCTGAACTTGTACCAATGAATTTATTTATCGATTAGTAACGGAATTTTCAATTCATTATCAATGTAATTGTATTCGGGGCAGATATGTATAAAAGTCATTAAGAAATTGGTTTCATTGTAAACGATATAATAATTTTATAACGACCAACTTTATTTAGGTTGGAAATAGTTTTCAGTTATTGAATTGTGACGATCACGTTAATATATTAAAAAAGAATAATCGTGATCCTGGCATGTGCCGACCAGATATTACTCATCAATGTTTATTAATGTTAATGGACAGCCCGTTAAATAGAGCTGGACTTCTGCAAGTTTATATCCATACGGAAAAGAATGTTTTGATAGAAGTAAATCCACAAACCAGGATACCAAGAACGTTTAAACGTTTTGCTGGTCTTATGGGTAAATATAAACGATGAATTTCTACGAATATTGAATAAATACAAAGAACATAAGGAGAAACACGATAAGTCATGTTTTGTGTTTTACAGGTGAGCAGTTGTAAAATTCAGTATGTCGACGAGCAATCCCATGTTACTACGATTGCCTCTGTATATGATTTTAAGGCTAATCCATAGTTTTAGAAATATCGCTCCTTTATATAGCTATATTTCTGAGATTTTTACCGAACCTTGTCGATCTATTGATCGTTTTCAAAAGGCTTCCCATTTTTAATTGTGTCCTATTAAAATGTTCTTTTTAACGATGTATTTTGGCTGCATTTTTAAAAATGATTACTTATCGGGTGTTTTTCCTGTGATCTTTGTACGAGACTGTGTTTTATATTAATTTCTCTCGTATTTTGCAGTGCAATTGTTACATAAATTCAGTATTCGTGCCTCTGATGGTCCGATGAAATTATTAAAAGTAATTAAAAATCCAGTTACCGATCATCTGCCAGTTGGCTGTCGTAAAATTGCAATGTCATTCAGTGCAAATAAAGTACAAAATCCACGAGAATTAGTTCCCCCTGATGAACCAATAGCCGTTACGGTAGGAGCAATGGCACATGGACAGGTAAACTTTACAAGTGTCAAATACGATACATCGTTATATGTTATGTCTTATTTAGTTTGACCAATTTATTTATTAATAATTGAAATTACAGGTAAAGCCAGATTATATAGAAGATACTATATCTATAAGCAACTATCCACTATCTGGTGCTTTAACGTGTAGCAAATTATGCTCGGCGTTTGAAGAAGTTTGGGGAATAGTATAGTAACAAATTGACAGTATACGTGCGTCATTTACATATGCGATTTAATTCTCGAGTTTCATTTATTTTTCTATTATTTATAAGCAACTTCTGTGTAATTGTGAATAAGAATACAAGAAGAAAATAAAATGACGTGTAAAGATAAATAAAAATATTGTACTTTCATATAAAATTGTGTTATATTATGTATTTCAAGTATTATATCACGTTTCTATTGAAATGTTTATTTACTAAATATAGAGAACTATAGAGAAGTAAACATCGTATAGCATTACGTAACACTCGATGGAAAATCCTAAACAACATGACTCATCAATATTGGTTTTCAAGCTATTGGTTCATCCCGATGACTCTAACAAAAGTACACCAATCGCTGGTCAGAACGTGATAAAGTTGATGGCAACCGGAAGGATGCTAACGTATGCTGCGTGTGCACTAACATTGGCTCCTAAATATCTAGTTTCTTTCTTGACTTTCGTATTTCATTACGTCATCAAAGCCAAAATGGTCGTTAATCTTAAGTATTTGGAACACTTTTTTATCTTCTCGTAATTTTCTTTTTTAAAATCACAGTATGTTGTTTTCTTAATGTTGAGATCTGTCGTTTCTGTGATTTAATGCCTCTATTCGAAGTGACACATTTTAATCATGTAAATTACTGAAAGGTGATAGTATTCATCTAAGAGACGCCATTTTGTGATTTAGTGCCACCGCTTGTTGTGTCAATGTACATAATAGCATCTTGTTATGGATATCAATTCAAATTGTCGCAAGACCTTTTTTTATTTAGTGTTTCTTTAACTGTACAATAAGTGATATGTGATATACTCTATAATTGTCTAATTGACTAACGTAGTCAATGTCATGAGTTTGTAGACTATCGATGCGTTATTTACTTTATGACATTAATAGGATTTTAGGTGTTTAGTAGATTATTTGTTCAAGTGTGTTATTAACTATGCTTGAAAAATTTAGTTTTTCAAAAGCTCAGTTTGTGTTTCGTTTGAAATGGTATGACAAAGAAAAGGTCGTATTTCACTATCTTAGACGTGTAACGGAACTTTGTATGGTGATGTGACGTACACGTCTATAAGACAAGATACCATTTGAATCATTTGTAAAATTTACTACGTGCTAACTAAATTTTTAATTATTATATTGTTCCCGATATTATTTTAATTATTTAAAATATAGTGTTATAAAAGTGAAATATAGTTATAGATTTTCCGCGTATCCCAAAATGCATTGCAGTAATTGTAGAATCGCGGAATTGAACCACGACTTGCGCGGTGGTTAAGACATTTTAACGTTATGTTTTAAATAAGAAAATTAACCGATTACGGTAATATTAAAATTTATTTTCTTTTCCGTTATCATTATCTGTTAACATTTATATTTATGAAATTATCACTTCAACCATGCAAACGTGCAATTGTACATGGCTGGACATGGAACGATGGAAATTAACCATTAATTTTTGGATTAATTAATAAAGTCCAATCTTAATTTGAAAATAAAATCGTTTAATTATGGTATACCTTGTAAATCCTAGTCTCTCTTCCTTATATTAAATACTCTAATAACACAGGAAAATACAATATAAATCTGTTTTCGAATAAATTTTGTATACTCTGTTATTTTTAAATAGATCTTCATTTTCAGTAAAACAAGCGATTTCCAATAATGGTAAATTATTAAACTGAAATATGTAATTACAATTGAATTATCTAGCATGATACATTATCTAACATCGATATATCTAGCTGTAGAAACTAAAGATTTGTTAAATAGAATATAGTTAGGCAATGATCTGTTGAATTTGGCGCGCTTTTGTTCGAGTTAGTTCGGTAAAATTCGAAATGATGGCGCAGCGAGGAGAATGGATAGACAGGTCGTGTTCGAGGAATATTGGAACGGAACCATTCAGTACGTCGCGGAAGAATGCATAGCCATTGTTGGTGCTGCGATCATTAGTTTCTAGATCCGAGATCGTGATGGGCACGGAAAGCCATCCGATTGTACGAGACTTGAGGAAAATGTCGGTGGAGCTCGGTACGGGGCACTGATACGATATTAGTATTAGAGATTAACGTCCTTATTCGTGAGTGTGTGGAACTAGTTGATCGGGCCGCGTCCGCGTTCGTCGCGTATGCGAACCGAGCGCTCGCGCTCGCACGAGTGAGAGTGAGTGAGTGATACGGCGGGGCACACTCAGCGACGGCCATAACACCGACCAGCCAAACTAGTTAGCAGGG